TTTCGCATGATGCTGGTGAGTATATATGATCACGCAGCTTCAGCCGGGCAGCAAGCAGCGGCTCCCCCGACTGTGCAAACACACACACACACACACACACACACACACACACACACACACAGGCACACACACACACACACACACACACACCACACAATCACCACCACCCACCACACGCACCGCACCGACCACACGCACACGCACACGCAACGCACACTCCACCAGCGCGCACACGCACACGCACCACGCACACCGCACACACACACACACACACACACACACACACACACACACACACACACACACACACACACACACACACACACACACACACACACACACACACACACACACACACACACACACACACGCAATGCGGCATCACGTTACACCTACGCATTATAGTTCACGGCGTCGTAGGGTTCATGCCATATATGGATCACCGCGAGGAGCATTGTTTTCAGGGTGAGGAGGCGGAAGGTTGTGTTCGATTATAGCATAGCAATTTAGATCGGGTTCCACCGTCAATACGCGCTCGTAAAAAAGACATGCAGTCAGTTAGCCTGGAGGCAACTGTACGCGGGCTATAGTACTAGAGCTAGCCTGGAAGCATTTCTCGGGTGAACGCGTGCGTTAGAGTAATAACTGCTCTCCTACTCACCCCACAGGCGGCCCTCCAAACCAGCACGCGCGTATCGTCATCTCCCAGCGCTAAAACTAAATATAGCCTCGTGGCGCCATCTGTTAGCAGAGGACATCGGCAGATTGGAACGGTTGCTACAGGGATGCTGGAAAGAAGAGATAGAAGCTTTGCAGATACGTAGAAAGCTCTGAAATAGTATTAATTACACACACAATGCCACACTATACATAGAGACCGTGATGACTGGTAGAAAGCCGGGCAAGCGAGGTTGATACAGGGTCTGATGCGTGGGTGAGTAGTCGCAGATGCGCAAATAAATAAATACCAATTCACATCTATCAATATAAAAGAAATGCCAGTGAAAAATACACATCATAGCAGGAGTGTATAATATAGAGAATAAGTCACTATAGTCTCTATATTATACACTCCTGATCATAACACACTGATAAACTCAACAATAACACCACCATACAATACACAATATAATAAATCGTACACACAATGGAATACAATATATCAATATAAACAATAACGCCAACATACAACACTCAATATAATACACCGTACACACAATGGAATAGAATCCATCAATATAAACAATAAAGCCAATGGCACAACAATAAAAATATTACAAATGCTTTTATTCACTCCTGATAGAATTATATACATGATTATTTATAGATATATTGGGATTAAATGACCGGGGATTCTGTTCAATGTGTGCTCCTATATGGTACATGTATGAATATACGCGTATCCAGATAACTAACTGTCCTTTGAGCTCGCACGTAGCAACGATTATCCTGAATGTACGAAAACATCATTGCAAAATATTACACACATGACGAGGCAAAATCTCGAAACGAAATACTACCTACGAAGCATAATTTATAGATTACGTGTGTTTATTCAGAGATGGTAAAAACATGATAAATTTCAAGGGCAATTATTGTAAGGTTTGTAAGTTGTCAGAGTACAGACGTCATAGAGTATATAATATGACCTATTTTACACGCCCACCCTAAATGCACACATGCGTCAGTCTACATTATTCTCACACATGCGTGGAAGAGCGATCCTTATATCTTATGAAACATCCGATCCGGATAGAAACTTAAGTGCACACACCCTAGTTAAGTGCAAAGGATAAACTGCTATTACTACGTATCAGTACGTACGTGTGCACTCTCGCACGCTATATCAGCAACTTGAACATATTTATGTTCCTAGTACAAACCATTAATTTACTTGAAAAGTGCCGTGAAGAGACGGACAGGTATCACATCACATGATATATATGTCAGTGAACCAATCTTCCTAAATCAGGTAAAAGTCATTTAGTCATTAGACACGATCGACTGTTATCATAAATTTTTTAATTATTTAGGAATGCACTCAATGCAGACAAAAACTATTTTCTCTCTCTCTCTCTCTCTCCCCCCCTTTCTCTCTCTCTCTCTTCCGCGGAACTTTGCGTCTCATCCGCGCGCAGCGCTTAGGATCAACAGCAAAGCTGTGCCACGCAATCTTGTATCATGTCTCTCTGGATCGATGTCAAGGCAATATATATGAAAACACACTTCGATCACACCTACGTACATGTGCAAACACGGGGTAAGATATTGAATATCATGTCAGGGGGGTTAATGACAAACTGTCATGATTGACTCCTGAGTATATAGGCCCTATGTGTACAAATATATACATAGCCTATGTAAGCTGCGATAGTAACATTTCAATGAAAACTGATGATTCACTCAGGGGCGTAAATCCGTACCGAGGAGTGGGGGGGGGATGATCGGCGATAGCCGCGGGCGAAATTAACCTTGGCTGCCGCAGGCAGGTCCGCGTGCCGTAGGCATGCCAGTGCTAGAGGGGTCTGGGGG